AGCACCTATGCTCTACTCGTGACAAACAACTACACCTCCCAGTCGCAAACCACTTCAACTCCCCCTCCCACTCCTTGGACAACATGTCCATCCTAGGCCTCCCCCAGTGCCACAACGATACCACCCAAAGGCTGGAGGAACAGCACCTCATGTATTTCGCTTGGGAGCTCTGCAGCCCAATGGTCTCAATGTGGACTTCACAGCTTCAAAACCTCCCCACCCCCAACCTCATTTCAAGACCAGCCCAGCTCGCCCCCACCTCCTTGACCTGTCCGTCTTCCTTCCAACCTACCTGCCCCTCCCTCCCAACTGACCAACCCCCATCCCAACTCCCCACCTACACTCACCTTTACTGGCTCCATCCCCGCCTCCTTGACCTGTCCGTCTTCTCTCCACCTATCTGTTCCTCTGTCCACCTTCCATCATCGCCTCCACCTCTATTTATTTCAGAGTCCCCGTCCCCTCCCCCATTTCTGAAGAAGGGTCCAGACCCGAAACATCAGCTTTCCTGCCCCTCTGATGCTGCCTGGCCTGCTGTGTTCATCCAGCTCTACACCTTGTTATCTCAGACTCTAGCATCGGCAGTTCCTACTATCTCTACAGTTTTACAGTAGCCTCTTTTATACAGTTTTTACATACATTTAAATTTAGCACTATAGTGTCACATAGTTGTATCATTTGTCCACAAGTTTGCGTGACATCTGTCTTGGGAAGCAGGAGATAGTTTAAGCACTTGTGAAATTCTGGCTGTTACTCCTGATGGGATTAGAATGCCTGTCCGATGTGTGATTACATAATTAAGAGGTGTTAGTCCTTTTATCTTTAAAGTTAGTAACGTTAGTAGAAATACTGGACCTATGTGATCTAGTGATGTGGAGGTGCCAGTGTTGGACTAAGGTGAACAAGGTCAGAAATTACACAGTGCCAGATTATAGTCCAACTAAATAAATAAACAGAGGATATTAAACTGATCTCCTGCAGTTGAGAGATTTCATCTGCTATTGCCAGTTTTTCACAGTTCCTATACATTCATTTATGCAGTTTCACTGAAGCGCTGTTTTGATAGTAAGTTTCTTAAAGAGGGTAGTGGCGCTATTTAATATGTATTTAAAAAGTATAAATCTGTAAGTTCGTAGACCTAAATAAAACTTAGAAATAGGTCGTATAGTGTTATAGAAATAGGTAGTGGATAAGGAAATTTCAAAGAGATAAAAAGCAGCAGACTGTAGGGACAGAGATAGCAGGAACTGCAGATGCTGGAGAATCTGAGATAACAAGGTGTAGAGCTGGATGAAGACAGCAGGCCAAGCAGCATCAGAGGAAGGGTCTAGGCCCGAAACTTCAGACTGTAGGGACATGCTGGCGGAGGAAACTGTTTGATGTCCTGCAGCCTATTCAGGTCCCGAGAGATGGTTACTAAGGGCTAATTAATATTATAATCTTTCCATAGTTTCGAGTGAGTTACGGAGACACAATTGCAGGAATAGCATTGTTCTGAGTAGGTTACAGTATCAACACTTATTCAGGGGTAGCCTTTGATACAGAAACAGGTGTAAACACTGCTTGCAGCATGGGGCCAATAAGAACTGAAAGGTGTAAAGAAGCAGTAATGGGTTGGCAGCCTAGGAAGGGATGTTTAACTTATAAGAGGTTTTATGAATGAATGAATGGAAACGCGGTGTAGTAAACATAGAGTGCTTGTGAGTGAGTTAGTAAAGAGAATCATAATACAATTTCTCACACTGGCCTATATTTCCTCAGTTTCCTGTCTTCTGCCTCCCTCCCTTCTTTAACAGGGGTGTTACATTAGCCACTTTCCAATCCTGTGGGACCCTCCTAGAGTCCAGTAATTCCTGAAAGATCACCGCAATGCCTCTGTGATCTCCTCACCTATCTCCTTCAGAACTCTAGGGTGTAGCCTTAGTGATTTTTGCTACTCTTACCTCTGCCGCGACTGACTTGAAGTTCTGGTATGTTGCTGATAAGTACCTATTCAGTTTGGCTCCATTTCTTTGCTCTTTGTTACTATTTCTCCAGCCTCATTTACCAGCGATCCAATGTCCATACTTAACTGTCTCTTGCCTTGTAGATATCTTAAAAAAACTCTTACAATCTTCTTTTATATTATTTACTAGCTTAATCTCATATCTTCTCTCCCATTATTGCTTTTTTTTTAGTTATCGTCTGCTGGTTTTTAAAGGCTTCCCACTAATCTTCACCAAATAGTATGTGTTTTCTTTTGCATTTATGCTGTTCTTGATTTCCCTTATCAGCCATGGTTGCCTCATTATCCCCTTAATATGTTTCCTTTGGCTGAATTTCTGCTGTGCCTCCTGAATTACCTCAGAAACTCCTGCCATTGCTGCTCCACCATCTTCCCTGCTAGTCTTCTATTCCAATCAACTCTGGCCAGCTCCTCCCTCATGTCTTTGTAGTCACCTTTACTGGTCAGCTCCTTCCTCCATGTCTTTATAGTTACCTTCACTCAATTGTAATACTGTTACACCAGATTCAGTCTTCTCCCTCTCAAACTGCAGGGTGAATTCTTTCATATTGTGGTCAGTGCTCCTTTGGGGTTCTTTCACCTTCATCTCCCTAATAAAGTTTGTCTCATTAAATCCAGAATTGTCTGTTCCCTGGTGGGCTCTGCCACAAACTGCTCCGAAAAAGCAATCTCATAGACATTCCATGAATTCCTTTTCTTGACATCTGCTACTAACCTTATTTTCCCAGTCCACTGCATATCGAAGCCCCGCATGATCAATGTCATCGTGCCTTTCTTACATGCCTTTTGTAGCTCCTTATTTATTTTCTTCCCCACATCCTGACTACTGCTCAAAGGCCTGAACACAACTTCCATCATGGTCTTTTTTTCCTTCGCGGGTCCTCAACTCTACACACACAAATTTTATGCATTCTGACTCATATTAATTCTTGCTATTAATTTAATTTCATTTTTTTACAAACAAGGCAAACCTGCCCTATCTGCCTGTCCTGTTAGTAAGATTTGTATCCTTGATATTTAGTTCCCAGCCGTGATCCCCTTGTAGCCACGTCTCTGCGATACCCACAAATTTCAATCTACGCTACAAGCTCATTTATCTTGTTTCGTTTACTGCATGCACTTAATTACAACATCCCCAGTCTTGCATTGACTGCTCCCCTTCTCATAGTTGTCCCCTTACCTGCTGTGTCTGAAGTTAAGTTCATGACCTTTTTCATACTGTCTGCCCTATTACTTGTTCTGGAAACTTCCACCACTGCTGAGCCCTCCACCCTCCTTTACCTCTTTCCATAATCCTCCATGCAGCTGAATCTACCCGCCCACTATTTAGTTTAAAGCCCTATCCACAGCCTTAGTGATGTCATTCGCAAAGACTCTGGTCCCAACAGGATTCAGGTGGAACCGTCCTATCGGAACAGCTCCCTTCTTCCCCAGTGTTGATGCAATGTCCTGCTTCCTTTGTTAAGGGGACCAAACAGGTCACAGTGCTCCAGATGTGGTTTCACCAGCACCTTGTAAGTTGCAATAAGACTTCACTACTCTAATTCTCCAACCTCCTTGAAAAAAAGGCCAACATTCCATTAGTCTCCCTGATCACCTATATGCTAGCCTTCTTGTGTTTCATCCAGAAGTACTCCCAAGTCCCTCTTGGTTGCAGCTTTCTGCAGATATTCTCCCTTCCAAAATCAACAGGTTCACATTTTCCCACATTATACTCCATTTGCCAACTTCTTGCTCAATTATTTAATGTATCAACAGCTGTCTGTAAACTGTTTTATCCTTCTTACAATTTGCCTTTTCACCTATTTTTGTGTCTTCCAAAAGTACATTCGGTTTCTTCCTTCAGGTCATTAATTTATATTGCAAACAGATGTGGTCCCAGTACAGATCCCTGTGGAACCCAACTGGTTACAGGTCGCCAACCTGAAAAAGAACCCCTTATCACCACTCGATGTTACCTGCCAACTAGCCAATTCTCTATCCAAGCCAATATACTGCCCCCAACACCATGGGCTCTTATCTCATAACAACCTTTGGTGAGGTACCTTGTCAAATGTCTTTTGGAAGTCCAAATACAACACATCTACTGGTTCCCCTCTGTCCATTGTGGATGAGACTTCCTCGAAAACTCAAATAAATTAGTCAGATATGATTTTCCTTTCATGAAGTCTTTCTGACTCTGTTGATCATATTAATTTTCCAAATGCACTGCTATTACTTCTTACTTATCGATTCAACATTTTTCCAACAATAGATACTATGTTAATTGGCCTATAATTATATGCTTTTTGAATAAGGGTGTCGCCTTAGCAGTTTACCAAACCTCCAGTACTTCTCCAAAGTCCAAAAACTTCTGAAAAATTTCAATGAATGCATCCATTATCTCTGTAGCTAGTTCTTTTACGAACCTAGGATGCAAGGCACAGGGGGCTTATCTGTCTTCACATCAGAATAGAAGAGCTTTTAGCCCCCCTTTAGAAAGAAAAACCATACCTCTTTCTAAACAAAACCTATTGATCACAGGCAATAAGGGAACGCATACATTTTATCTGTGACCGCATTTTGTACCAAGCTCCCCTGACCTTGACAATATTTGTTAGTATTGTTCCTGAACTTGAGCCATAAGCCCATAGACAGCTGGCCTCCCAGAACAGGCCCAAAATGGCAGCTTCCAAGAGGGTTAATTTTGGGGAAGCTGGAAACTATCAGACAAGATCAGAGAAACAGTTAGTGTCCTAGGTATGTTGTACTGAGGAGATTTCCACAGGATTTCGATTCATTAAGCTGGAGACTAGGCTGGGGATGGGCTGAATTTTTTTTGTGCCTCTTAAAACATTACTTCTGTATGGAAGAGGATGGTAGTCATTTCAGAGATTCTGATTCATGATCCCCTGGTTGATTATTCACTTTTGTCCCACTCCAGATTCAACATTATTCCATAGTCTTTTTAAAGATGCAAAGTTACTCAAATAATATCTCATTCATTTTCCTACAGCTGCTCACATTGGAGTTGGTATAAGTGGTGAAGAAGGAACACAGGCTGTCCTTTCAAGTGATTTCTCCTTTGCTCAATTTCGTTATCTGCAGCGTCTGTTATTAGTCCATGGAAGGTGGTCATATTTTCGCATGTGCAGATTTCTCAGTTACTTCTTCTATAAAAATTTTGCCTTCACATTTGTTCACTTTTGGTATGGATTTTTCTGTGGATTTTCAGCACAGGTGAGTCTGCTCCAAAATCTATGTTGTTCATTCATGCAATCTACGCAGAAATGTGACTTAATATTGTTTCGTAATGTGAGGAGAAATCTGAAGTGGAACATTACCCCTTTAAGAAAGTTATTCCTGCATTACGCAAGTTTACCAGTTGAAAGCAGCTAGTAAAGATAAGTGATAAATCAGTAGTATGGGTCATTGACTAATAAGCCTAAGTGAAGAGGTGCAATAAAAGCACCAGTTTTCCTTGCAGTGCACTGAATTGATGAAGGTAATTTTAATTCCTTAAACCTGTATATCTGGGTCAGCTGAAATGTTAAAATATAAAATATCTCAAACATGAACCCCTTCTGACTTGAACTAGCCTGCATCTGGTTTCGACAGACCACATAAGTGCCAGGCAATGACCATCTCAAAAAGAGAGGATCCAACCATTTGCCTTTACCATTCAGCAGCATCACTGAATCCAACATTCTCAAGATTACCATTTACCAGACACTGAACTGGACCAGGCATATAAACATTGTGGTTATAAGAGCAAGTCAGAGGCTTGGGTAACTCACCACTTGACTCCTCAAATCATGTCCAATATCTACAAGTCACAATTCAAGTTTGTGATGGAAATCTCTCTAGATGCCTGGATAAGCGCAGCTCCAACAACTCTGAAGAAGCTCAACAGCATTGTTATAAGTCTCACAGAAACAGTACACTGATAATCAGCCCAACTATTCCACAAGCTAAACCAAAAGTGTAAATGTATAACTGAACCAAAATAATCAGTTTATTTTTCTTTACAATTGTCACTGAGAATAAAAGAGACTTTCACAAGGTTAATTACATTCAAAATTTATAATAAACAAGTGGCAAAACTGGTTACCAACTAAACTACGGTACAAAATTAAGCTATATCCCCTTAATTCCAAGCACATCACTGATAGACAGACAAGACAAAACAACATGGTTTTGCAAAGAAATAGGCAAAAAAGGACCAGCACCCATTTCGGTCAAGTGTACAGATTTGGAAGATAAAAGCATTGACTTCTTACAGTTCCTTTCATTTCCTTCGTGAGATCAAAGACAGTTGCAAAATAAAGAAAGATTTTCAGACCAGATTTCAAATTCACATGGGAACATTGAGAAATCCTGCTCTTTGAAACTTTATCAGTTTTCAAACTACGTCTTTGAGAAAGAGCTTTTCGTTGATTTGCTTTAAGGTTCGACTCTTCGTGCTGAGAATGAGAGAACACTGCTTTTTGCTGTCAGCTCCTTTGACAACCCAACTTCCAGGTCTGTGAAAACACCAGCAACTTCACCACCCCACCTTCCCTCCAACAGTCTGCTGCTAGGTAGCCAACAACACAATATCGAGCATCTGCAAGATGCATTGCAGTAACTCACCCAAACCCATTAGACAGCCTGTGCCAAACCCCTGACTTGTGCCACCAGGAAGGACAAGGGTGCCAGATAGGCAGAAACTCTACCATCTGCTAGTTCCCCTCCTGCATGTTGCTGATGATGGAAGTGAATGCTGATGGGGCACTAACTCAAGCCAATTGCCTTGTTATGGATGAGCTTCTTCAGAGTTGTTGGAGCTGCACTTATCCCGACAGGTGTAGACTCTTCTAACACTCTCTTGACTTGTACATTGTAAATAGTGGACAGGCTTTAAGGAGTCAGAAAATGAGTTACTCACTGGCAAATACCCAGCCAGTGACCTGTTGCAGTTCATTTCCTGGTTACTGGTAACTCCACAATATTGATGGCAACTTCCTTATTCTTGTACTCTGTGTCCAAATTAATAAAGCCTGACATATGTTTTGTTTTACTAATTGAGCTGTCAAATGAATCTGTCATGCCATCTTCAATGAATTATCCATGTAAGTTTCCCTGCATCTGCAGCCCCTTTAGAATTGTGCCCTTCATTGTATATTGTCTCTCTGTTATTCCTATCAAAATTAGCTATTGTACATTTTGCTGCATTGATCAGATTATGGAAAGATGTAGGAGCAACAGGGTGGTGGTGACGGGAGATTTTAATTTTCCCAACATTGACTGGGATTCACTTAGTGTTAGGGGTTTAGATGGAGCAGAATTTGTAAGGAGCATCCAGGAGGGTTATATAGAGCAGTATGTAAATAGTCCAACTCGGGAAGGGGCCATACTGGGCCTGGTGTTGGGGAATGAGCCCGGCCAGGTGGTTGACGTTTCAGTAGGGGATTACTTTGGGAATAGTGATCACAATTCCATAAGTTTTAGAATACTCATGGACAAAGACGAGAGTGGTCCTAAAGGAAGAGTGCTAAATTGGGGAAAGGCCAACTATAGCAAAATTTGGCAGGAGCTGGGGAATGTGGATTGGGAGCAGCTGTTTGATGGTAAATCCACATTTGATATGTGGGAGGCTTTTAAAGAGAGGTTGATTTAGAGTGCAGGACAGACATGTCCCTGTGAAAATGAGGGATAGAAAGGGCAAGATTAGGGAACCATGGATGACAGGTGAAACTGTGAGACTAGCAAAGAGGAAAAGGGAAGCATACATAAGGTCTAGGCAACTGAAAACCGATGAAGCTTTGGAAGAATATCAGGAAAGTAGGACCAATCTGAAATGAGGAATTAAGAGGGCTAAAAGGGGTCATATCTTTAGCAAACCGGGTTAAAGAAAATCCCAAAGCCTTTTATTCGTACATAAGGAGCAAGAGAGTAACTAGAGAAAGGATTGGCCCACTCAAGGACAAAGGAGGGAAGTTATGCGAGGAGTCACAGAAAATGAGTGAGATTCTTAATGAGTACTTTGAGTCGGTATTCACTGAGGAGAGGGACATGAAGGATGTTGAGGTTGGGGATAGATGTTTGATTACTCTAGGTCAAGTCAGCATAAGGAGGGGGGAAGTGTTGGGTATTCTAAAAGGCATTAGGGTGGACAAGTCCCCAGGTACGGATGGGATCTATCCCAGGTTACTGAGGGAAGCGAGAGAGGAAATAGCTGGGGCCTTAACAGATATCTTTGCAGCATCCTTGAGCACGGGTGAGGTCCCGGAGGACTGGAGAATTGCTAATGTTGTCCCCTTGTTTAAGAAGGGTAGCAAGGATAATCCAGGTAATTAGAGACCGGTGAGCCTGACATCAGTGGTGGGGAAGCTGCTGGAGAAGATACTGAGGGATAGGATCTATTTACATTTGGAAGAAAATGGGCTTATTAGTGATAGGCAGCATGGTTTTGTGCAGCAAAGATCATGTCTTACCAACTTGATAGAATTCTTTGAGGAAGTGACAAAGTTGATAGATGAGGGAAGGACTGTGGATGTCATATACATGGACTTCAGTAAGGCATTTGATAAGGTTCCCCATGGTAGGCTGATGGAGAAAGTGAAGTTGCATGGGGTCCAGGGTGTACTAGCTAAATGGATAGAGAACTGGCTGGGCAACAGGAGACAGAGAGTTGTCGTGGAAGGGAGTTTCTCAAAATGGAGAACTGTGACCAGTGGTGTTCCACAGGGATCTGTGTTGGGACCACTGTTGTTTGTGATATACATAAATGATCTGTAGGAAGGTATAGATGGTCTGATTAGCAAGTTTGCAGATGACACTAAGATTGGTGGAGTAGCAGATAGTGAAGGGGACTGTTGGAGAATGCAGCAGAATACAGATAGATTGGAGAGTTGGGCAGAGAAATGGCAGATGGAGTTCAATCCAGGCAAATGCGAGGTGATGCATTTTGGAAGATCCAATTCAAGAGCGAACTATACGGTAAATGGAAAAGCCCTGGGGAAAATTGATGCAGAGAGAGATCTGGGTATTCAGGTCCATTGTACCCTGAAGGTGGCAACACAGGTGGATAGAGTGGTCAAGAAGGCATACAGCATGCTTTCATTCATCGGGGTATTGAGTACAAGAGTTGGCAAGTCATGTTACAGTTGTATAGGACTTTGGTTCGACCACATTTGGAATACTGTGTACAGTTCTGGTCGCCACATTACCAAAAGGATGTGGATGCTTTGGAGAGGGTGCAGAGGAGGTTCACCAGGATTTACCTGGTATGGAGGGCGCTAGCTATGAAGAGATGTTGAGTAGAGTAGGATTATTTACATTAGAAAGACGGAGGTTGAGGGGGGACCTGATTGAGGTCTACAAAATCATGAGAGGTATAGACAGGGTGGATAGCAAGAAGCTTTTTCCCAGAGTGGGGGCTCAATTACTAGGGGTCACGATTTCAAGGTGAGAGGGGAAAAGTTTAAGGGAGATATGCATGGAAAGTTCTTTACGCAGAGGGTGGTGGGTGCCTGGAACGCTTTGCCAGCGGAGGTGGTAGAGGCGGGCACGAAAGCGTCATTTAAGATGTATCTAGACAGATGCATGAATGGGCAGGGAGCAGAGGGATACAGATCCTTGGAAAATAGGTGACAGGTTTAGATAGAGGATCTGGATCGGTGCAGGCTTGGAGGGCCGAAGGGCCTGTTCCTGTGCTGTAATTTTCTTTGTTCTTTGTTCTTTGAATAAAGGATTTGTCTCATTAAGAGATTCCAGCTCCCTGAGAAGAATTCAGGCAAATTCCCATCAATGATCCTGCTCTGAAAGCGCTGGTCACTTTTGTCAGCAGTGATAGTTTGCACCAAATCAGCTGAAACAATCTACAACATTCTAAAAAGAAAATTCTCTGAATTAAACAATCTACAACATTCTAAAAAGAAATCAATGTGTCCTATCTCCCAAGGTTAACATCCTTTCAAAGAAATCTGGATATACAGATCCTTAACTTAGACAAAAACTATACTCTATGCCAGTAGCAAGTATGGTTGGAATTTGTTCATCAGATTTTGAACCAACTAAAGCATCACTGCCATCCAATTTAAGAGGCTGAGGTAAATTACAGTATCAGTCTGGTATCCCTAATCTTCATTTCTTGCTGCTCAGCAGTCTCCAGGGTGAATGATTTGCTCTCAACTTCATGAATTTCAACTTTAGCCAACAGACTCTTATCAATGACAACAAGGTGCAGGGCTGGATGA